CACCCCAGAGCCAGAACCCACCCCGTGACTCCTGCCTCCACCATGGCCCCAGGTCAATTGTTCCCCTGGCTCCCTGTGCAACGCATTAGGGTGGCACCTAGACCAAAATCAGGGCATCCATTGTTTGTCATGCAGTGTGGGGGAGTCAGAGGGCCCTGCACCCCAACTTTGCAACCCACAGGAACTCAGCCAGCATTGTAAAATGGAAGGCTTGTTTGGTTTATTAGTTGATAGGGACACTGAGTAGAATAGAGCTTGTTAGCATAAACAACAGGAACATTCGGTAGAGTCCATCTTGGGGGGTGGGGAGCCCAGAGCCAGGACTCTGGGTCTCCCCCGTCTCCCCAGCCAGCTCCAAACTGAAACCCCTTCCAGCCTAGAGGCCCATCAGTGATAACCAGTAAAGTGTTCACTGTCCTTCACAAGCCACTCGCGTCTCACTCCTGACAAACTCACTAGACCTCAGGTACCACTTCCCTGGTATTTAGCCCTGAAGGATGGCGTGTGAGGGCTCTACTGAAAGCTGGTAACTCATGAAACTTCATGCTCATTGCTAGTCATGAATACAGGTACTAGCTCAGCGATAACGTCCCTATCCTGTGTCTAATGGGCTTGGAGCGACCATCCAGGATCTCGTGGCTCAGGGAGGCCCATTCACACAGGAGGGAGCTGTCAGCGCTCCCTGGCTAGCTGGTGATGGACTACACAGTGTGATGCTGGCAGACCCAGGCAGCTGACATTAGCTATGAATTAACCAACTCACATCTGGAGACCAGACTGTTCACCTGTGTGTTAGTTTTGCTCAAAATAGGGATGAGTCTTACAAAATTCCATTTAATATTCAGACCCTGTGCAATGCTTGGAAATAGCTGCCTGCGTTAACCTCACATTCAGTGTCTGTATTCCAGGCTATATGGAAACATGTAAGTTTTGTTTTATAACATTGAAAGTGTTTGCACTGAACTTGGGGACCAGGCCGGATTCCAGGCCTCAGCTCAGATGCTGCAGTATTAGCTGAGCTTGGGTATCCCATTCCCTGCCCCCCCGAGCAACCAGTCCCCTGGAGCCAGTACCCCACAGACGGGAAAGGCCCCATCTCTCAAGACCTCAACACCACGGAGAGCACAACTCAGACTGCTGGGTTTAACTGCTGAGTGGCTGAGTCTCCCCTCCCCTGGCTGACAGAGATCCAGGAGAGAAGGGAACACTCACAGGGACTAAATTTCATAAAACTCTGTTTTGATTCCAGAGGTCACAAGCTGGCCTATGAAATTAACCAGTACAGAGGGCAGATGGTGTGGAGGGGAGGGGGCTTTAACTACCCACATATCTGCTGGAAAAGTAATACAGGCACAATATTTCCCATAAGTGTTAGACTAGTGCTAGATTTTAGAGCCCATTATTAAATATTTGTTCCCCGTGAAGGTACTTATACATTGTTATCATGTAACCCCTTAACCTTCTCCGTGTTAAGCTAAATAGATGGAGCTCCTTGAGTCTATCACTGTAAGGCAGGTTTTCTAAATCTTTAATCATTCTCCTGGCTCTTCTCCGAGCCTCTCCAATTTATCAAAATCCTGCTTGAATTGTGGGCCCCTGATCTGGAAATGGGATTCCAGCAGGCGTTACACCAGGACCAAATCCAGAGATAAAATAACCTCTCTGCTCCTACTCGAGATTCCCCTGTTTATGCATCCCAGGATCATACTAGCTCTTTTGGCCACAGCGTCGCACTGGGAGCTCTTGTTCACCTTGACCCCCACATATTTTCCAGAGTCCCTACTTCCTAGGAGACAGTCTGTAAATATGGCAGCCCTTCTTTGTTCCTAGATGTATACATTGACATTTAGCCATGTTAAAATGCATATTGTTTGCTTGCACCCAGAGTACCAAACTACTCAGAACACTCTGCCCTGTCCTCTGCATTATTTGTCACTCCTCCAATTTTTTAATCATCTGCAAATGTTATCAGTGATGATTTTGTTTTCTTCCAGGGTATTGATAAAAATAGTAAATTACATAGGACAAGAACCAATCCCTCTCCCCACAAAAAACATGCCCATTTGATGATGACTTCACATTTCCAATTACATTTTGAGACCTACTGTTTAGCCAGCTTTTAATCCATGTTGTGTTTGCCATTTAATCTTATATACGTCTAGTTTTTTAATCAACATGTGTGGTATCGAGTCAAATGCCTTCCAGAATTATGACAATATACTATCAACATTGTTACCTTTATCAACCAAACCAAATTTGGAATCTGACGAAAAGGAGACAAGGTCTGTGGGGGGATCTTTTATTGGACCAACTACTGTTGGTGAGAGAGACAGGATTTCAAGTTTACACAGAGCTCTTCTTCGGGTCTGGGAAAGGTTCTCAGGGTGTCACAACTAAGTACGAGGTGGAACAGGTTGTTTAGCATAGGTACTTAGCACATATTTCTGTCCATGCTCATCATCAGAAGCAAGCTCCACACAGAGCAGGACCCACCAACTCAAAGTAGTACCAGACCCTGCCAGAATAAAACCTGCAGACATATCTCCACTACTATGATGACCAACATCTCCTCCCCAGAACACATCTTTCTATTCCTCGGGTCCTACACATGCCCATCACAACATGTGTTGTACCTCAACCAGTGTACTAAATGCTCTAATAACAATGAGGTGGGAAAAATGGGACAACCACGTCAAATGAGCTCACACAGAAAAAATGTTGAAAGACAAAAACACCTTATCACCCGGGGATGAACACTTTTCACAAAATGATCACTCCATAGCTGACCTCTTGGTCCTCATCCTCAAAGGAAACCTGCATAACCTTTGCTAGATACTAAAAAAAATGAAGTGAATAGCGACACTGGATTCATGGCTTATTACAACAATCTGTAACCCACCAAACCCCCTTCGCACATGCCTTTTCTGCCCTCTTTTTCCACCTATGACTGGAGAGATGTTAAAAGGCTACTTCACCTTGAATGGTCCTGTAGTGAGTCGGTGTGGCTCCCCTCCTGCCCAGCAGAGGGAGCGCCCTTACAGACACACAAGTGGGCGGAGCCACCACCGCCTGTTCCCGCCCCCCGGAAGTCAAGGGGTGGGACAGGAAGTATAAAAGCTGGCTGCCAGAGCTCAGTGAGGCCCCAACCACTGCACAGAGCAGATGTGCGGCCGGGAGCTCCCGGCCGGGAGAGCCCCGAGGCCGTTGTCCTGTCTGGCCGGAGCTGCCCCGAGCCCACTACGGCAAGGAGCCACCAGAGCCCACCCGCTCCCGTCATTGGGAGGAGCTATTGGAGCTCCCCCACACCAACCCCGAAGGCGAGACGCCACCAGAGCCCCTCCGCCCCTGCTGTTACCCAGAGGAGCCGCCCGACTCCAGTTGGCCGGATTTCCCCAAGGAGCTGCCGGACCTGCTGCCAAGTCCCGGCTGGGAGGAACCCATGCTGATGGACTGGACTGTGCCCGGTGCCACGGACGAGGTAGGCCCTGAGGGGGAACCTGGAAGTAGCCTGGGGGTAGCCGACCCCGGTCAGGCTGCAGTCATGTGAGAGCTGATGTCAGTGTGTTTAGGTCAGGACACCCCACTGTCCCGCAGCGGCAGTGGCTGCTGCTAGGGCCCCGGGCTGGGACGCAGTTGAGTGGGTGGGCCTGCGTCCCCCCCGCCACCGCCGGTCACGGGTGGCAGGCTTCCCCCTCTCACTGTTGCATTGTTGCTCAGCCCCTGCACCTAAGGGCCTGAGCCTTCTAACTGTGATACTGTTGCTCAGCCCCTGCACCAGAGGGCCTGTGTAGTGACTCGGTGTGGTTCCCCTCCTGTCCAGGAGGGTCGAGCCCTGGCACAAACCTTCCACAGGTCCCTTGAAATATGTGTTAACTTCTTATGTTAAACAATCTGTTCCACTTTGCATTGAGCTGTGACACACAGAGGACCTTTCCAGAACCTGAAGAAGAGCTCTGTGTAACCTCCAAAGCTTGTCTCTCTCAGTAAGAGAAATTGATGCAATGGAATATCACCTCACCCACCTTGTCTCTGAAATATCCCATGGCTACACCAAATCTCTCTCTCTCTCTCTGTATATATATATATACACACACACGCCTCTACCCCGATGTAATGCAACCCGCTATAACACAAATTCAGATATAACGCGGTAAAGCAGTGACCAAGGGGGCAGAGCTGCACACTCCGGTGTATCAAAGCAAGTTCGATATAACGCAGTTTCACCTATAACGCGGTAAGATTTTTTTGGCTCCCGAGGACAGCGTTATATCGGGGTAGAGTTTTATATATATATAAACACACACACACACACACACACACACACACACACACACACACACATATAAAGATATAAAGTTAAACAATGGCCAAGCTGTACACCCATTGGGACTGTAGGGGGCACTTTTGCCACAAGTGTTGAATTCCTGCTGGGTCTGTATCTCTAGGCGACAGGGAACAGGGTAGCAACAAATCCTTTCTCCAGCGTTCAGGGACCATGATGGGCAGATACGGGGTGAACACTAGGTAGCGCAGTTACTGTCAGATGCAGACAGGAATCCAGATAGACTGACACGGAGGCTACTTCATCAAGCGTTTTATTGCACTGCGTGGAAAGAAGAGGTTCACAAGGGCTTTTGCAGGTCACAATGGTCCCTCCTGCCTTTGATATCTATGGGTCAGGGTATCTCAGTGCAGAGAAGCCCAAGGGTGTTTCTTACTACTGTAGTAGTGAAGGTGGCAGGGTTAACCACATCCGCAGCCAGGCCGAGCAGGCACCAGAGCAGGGAGGAAACCCCCCGCCCTGATGTGGGCACAGCTGTGGCTGGAGGCTTCTCCAATCGGCATCTCCATCCCTGGGCCATCTGGGGTGGGAGATTCCGGGCAGCAGGGTACACGTCCCTGTGGTTGCCAGGCCCTGCCCTCCCCTCCCCACGCCTGGTCCATATAACCCGCCGGGGCCAAGGCAGAGGCTCCGAGCCCATCCCTGGATGGGTCTGACAATGCAGCTCTTGATCCTCGTCCTGCTTCCCGTGGCCTTTCGCTTTCCCCCTGGGTCTCAGGCTGGTGAGTCTCTTTGGGGGGGAGATCAGGGCCCATGGGCAGTGGGACCCTCACCCCATATGGGGAGCTGTGGGCAGCATTTAGGGTCTCCCCCTTGCACCTGCTGAGGCCAAGGACCTGTATCGACTCCTGCCTCCTCTCCTGAGTGCGGCTGAGGCTCTCACAGCAGCACAAGGGGTTGGGTGGCCAAGCCCCCACAGGCTCTTTTGGGACCCCACTGCCAATCCATGTCCCAGACAGGGAGGTCGGCCATGGGGCTAGGCCACTGGGCTGGGACCCAAGCTTAGGATGTCAATGCTCCATTCTTTGATTCCTGGTTGCTTTTTGGATTTCCATTTCTGTGACGCTTTCTGGGAGATTTTTCATTATCTAGAAAACCCGATTTTCTGAACAAAAACAGTTGGGGGGGGGCAGCTTGGGAGCAGCCCTGCCTTGTCACTGGCGGTTGACAGAGAAGGTGAAACATCATCAAGGGACGTGTCTGTGGCGTTCTGGATGCTACTGGCCCACAAAGCTGTTAACTCAGGGCAGTGCGATTACTGACCTGCTCCCAGTGCATTTGGCATTGAGACTCCACCCAGTGAGGTGAGAGCTTTAGATTTACCCAGGGGGTGTCCAGTGCGGGGGAGGGCTCAGCACGGGGCAGAGTTCCTGGTACAGTAATCCCCCAGGGAGAGCATCACAGGGGTTGGGTTGAGGCTGTGGGGACTCCCCTTTGGGATGGGGAGATTGATCCCAGCCTGGCCCAGGGAGACAATGGGCCTCTTTATGTGAATCTGTTCCCCCCACCCCCAGCTGAGATCATCGGGGGCCATGAAGCTCAGCCCCATTCCAGATCCTACATGGCCTATCTGGATATACGGCGCGGAAACAATAGCTCCTTCTGCGGAGGGTTCCTGGTGGCGGAGAACTTCGTGCTGACGGCCGCTCACTGCAATGGAGAGTAAG